TTTTTTTTTTTTTTTTGACAGGCAGAGTGGACAGTGAGAGAGAGAGACAGAGAGAAAGGTCTTCCTTTACCGTTGGTTCACCCTCCAATGGCTGCTGCAGCTGGTGCGCTGCGGCTGGCGCACCGTGCTGATCTGAAGCCAGGAGCCAGGTGCTTCTGGTCTCCCATGGGGTGCAGGGCCCAAGCACTTGGGCCATCCTCCACTGCACTCCCTGGCCACAGCAGAGAGCTGGCCTGGAAGAGGGGCAACCGGGACAGAATCCAGCGCCCCGACCAGGACTAGAACCTGGGATGCCAGCGCCGCAGGCGGAGGATTAGCCTATTGAGCCGCAGCGCCAGCCGAAAGACATATTTTTAAATGACATTTTTGAACAGCTTTCTGTTCATTGGCTAAATTAAATACCGTTTGTCAAATCTTGAAATGTCAAGTTAAATGTTTACACAATAAGGTTTTTATTTTTTTTAAGATTTATTTTACTTATTTGAAACAGTTACACAGAGAGAGAAGGAGAGGCAGAGAGAGGTCTTCCATCTGCTGGTTCACTCCCTAGTTGGCTGCAATGGCTGGAGCTGTGCCAATCCAAAACCAGGAGCCAGGAGCTTCCTCTGGGTCTCCCATGTGGGTGCAGGGGCCCAAGGACTTGGGCCATCTTCCACTGCTTTCCCAGGCCATAGCAGAGAGCCAGATCAGAAGTGGAGCAGCCGGGTCTCGAACCAGCACCCACATGGGATGCCGTCACTGCAGGTGGCGGCTTTACCCACTATGCCACAACGCTGGCCCCTACACGATGTTTTATTTATTTATTTATTTATTTAGACAGGCAGAGTCAGACAGTGAAAGAGACAGAGAGGTCTTTCTTTCCATTGGTTTACCCTCAAATGGCAGCTGCAGCCGGCGCACTGTGCCGATCCAAAGCCAGGAGCTAGGTACTCCTCCTGGTCTCCCATGGGGTGCAGGGCCCAAGGACCTGGGCCATCCTCCACTGCCTTTCCAGGCCACAGCAGAGAGCTGGACTGGAAGAAAAGCAACCAGGACAGGATCAGGCGCCCCAACCGGGACTAGAACCTGGGGTGCTGATGCCACAGGTAGAGGATTAGCCAAGTGAGCCACGGTGCCAGCCCAGCGTTTTATATTTAAGAATGAATTTTATTTTTGTCATCTGAGTCTATTGCAACTCTAAACCATCTGCTAAATTCGTCACTTAATTTAGCTGACTTCTCTTTTGTTTTAATGCTCTAATCACATGAAAGATTGTGAAATTGCTGTTTTTCTAAGTTGTTTACTGAGGGTGATCTAATCCAGTGCTAAAATACAACAGGACTTCTATAATCAAAGTGAAGATATCAAATATCATAATTCAAAAGCACATGTTTACCTATTGAAACTGATGCATAGACTGTTTTTATATGCCTATAATGTTTAGCTAATAGTTTGAGGTAACAAAAATTATATATTTTGGCAACTATTCCTCCAAGTAATTGTCATCTTAATAGACATAAATTAGAGAATTAACTTTTCTTTTTCATTATACTTATAGCAATTCCTTTTCATGATAATCCTGGAATTATAGGTTTTACACTATAACTGCATATGAGCATTCAGAAATATGATTATCAGTCTTCAGATATGCCAATTTCCATAGAGCTAGTAGTGTAGTTTTCATTTGTGATTTTTAAAGGTGCACTGTAATTTGTACATCTTTAAGTGAATCACTTTACAATGATTTGTTTTTATTCTTGGTAAATTTTCTGATTGTGTGCAACTGTTTATGATAAAATGAGATTGGTTTAGAACAGAGTGCCTTTATATGTGTGTGTAAATTCTCATGGTAGGTACTGTCTGAATAACTTCTCTGTTGGATTCTGGATCTCAGATAAGTTTTAATTTCAAAAGGCAGTCATGGGAGGAGAATGTCTTGCTTAGACGTCATGTTTAATACATACTTTATCTCGCCTTGACACTTTAAAGTTGGTGTTGGTGCTAGGAGATCTGCACATCCCACACCGGTGCAACAGTTTGCCAGCTAAATTCAAAAAACTCCTGGTGCCAGGAAAGATCCAGCATATTCTCTGCACTGGGAACCTTTGCACCAAAGAAAGCTATGATTACCTCAAGACCCTGGCTGGCGACGTCCACATCGTGAGAGGGGACTTCGACGAGGTGACGTGTTTCCCTCCCCTCCCCTTCCCAAGTATTTTCCTCCTTAAAATATTCATTTGTTTATTACAAAGTCAGAGTTACACACAGAGAGAAGTCTTCCATCTGCTGGTTCACTCCCAATTAGCTACAACAGCCAGAGCTGTGCCGATCCAAAACCAGGAGCCAGGAGCTTCCTCCCACGTGGGTGCAGGGGCCCAAGGACTTGGGCCGTCTTCCACTGCTTTCCCAGGCCATAGCAGAGAGCTGGATCGGAAGTGGAGCAGCCAGGACTTGAACCCGAAACCATATGGGATGCTGGCACTGCAGATGGCGGCGCTTTACCTGCTACACCTCAGCACCGGCCCCAAGATTGATTGATTTATTAGAAAGGCAGAGTTTACAGAGGAAAAGGGAGAGACAGAGGTCTTCCTTCCTGGTACAGTCCTCAAATGGCTGCAGCGGCCAGGGCTGTGCTGATCTGAAACCAGGAGTTAGCAGCTTCTTCTGGGTCTCCCACTTGGGCCGTCCTCTGCTGCTTTTCCAAGAGCATTAGCAGGGAGCTGGTTTGGAAGTGGAACAGCTGGGACTCGAACTGGTGCCCATATGGGATGCAGTGCTGTAGGCCAGGGCTTTAACCTGTGCCACAGCACTGGCCTCTCACAAACTTCTTAGTAATTAGAATATATGTCTGTTTTGTTGGAAACTTTCAGGGTTTCTGTTATGTTAAAGACAGTTTGGCAACAGTTAAAACTTATTGTTTCTATTTTGCTAAATTTACAAATCCTGGAGGCTATTAGGGTTTAGATCTTAGCTCAGTGATTTACTAGTACGTAACTTTGGGCAAATTATTGTAAACACTTTTTTTTTTTCAGTTACCTCATCCATACAGTTGAGATTATAACTGTTAAAACCTAGGATGTAATTTGGATACATCCTAATTTGTGGGCCTTGGGTCTTGGGTAGAGGGAAATCACAAGTTAAGGGAAATATTTCAGGGGTGCAGAATGTCTGGGCTGTGAAATAATTTGGCCTGGCGCTGCTAAGGCAGCTGCAGGCAAGACTCAAAATTAAATACATCTATAGCAGGCTAATTGTTAAGTTGATAATTTTGTGTGGCCTGCAACTGATGTTATACACATCCAAATGGCCCTTGGCAGAAAAAAGGTTTCCCATCCCTCCTTTAGAGCATACTCAGAGAAACCCACATTTCATAGAAATAACTAAAGGAGTTTTATGATGGGGCTGGCATTGTGGCAGGGGGATTAAACACAGCTTGGGACATGCTGACATCTCCTATCAGAGTGCTGGTCTGAGTCTCAGCTACTCTGCTCCCCAACCAACTTCCTGCTAATGTGCCTGGGAAGGCAGTGGAAGATGGCACAAGCACCTGGGCCTGCCATTCGTGCGGGAGATCCACGTGGAGCTCCTGGCTTTGGCCTAGGGAGACCTGACTGTTGCAGCCATCTGGGGAGTGAACCAAACAGTGAATGGAAGATGTTTGTCTCTCTCTCTCCCCCTCTCTATCTGTTGCTCTGCATTTCACATATGTAAATCTTTTGTAAGGGGGGAGCAGTTGTATGATAAATTCCAGTTTACCTTGAATAAGTTTTGTTTTAAGCATAGTTCCAGTCTTAAAAACTGAGGAGAAACCAAGTATTTACAAATGGGTCTGTTGTGGGGCTTGGTATTAAAATACCATATGAGATTGGATACTTAAGCAGGTGGTCTCTTTATAAAATCACTGTATCTAAAGTGTTTTCTTTTGTCTGTTTTAGAATCTGAATTATCCAGAACAGAAAGTTGTGACTGTTGGACAGTTCAAAATTGGTTTGATCCATGGACATCAGGTTATTCCGTGGGGAGACATGGCCAGCTTGGCTCTGTTGCAGCGGCAGTTTGATGTGGACATTCTTATCTCAGGACACACACACAAATTTGAAGCATTTGAGCATGAAAATAAATTCTATATTAACCCAGGTTCTGCCACTGGGGCATATAATGCCTTGGAAACGTAAGTAGTACACAGTTTGGGAATTTGGAAGCTTTAGGAACATTGATTCCATGTGTGACATTGTCGAAAAGAAAAATAAGCCAGTTAAATAATTCTGACCTTTTTTGGTAATTATTTTAATGTGTAACAGTTTGATTTCTCCTTGAATCCAAATTATTTTAAATTGAAATGTGTAATGCTGCTTTTTAGTACAAAACACTAATATTATTTATTTTTACTTCCAGAAACATTATTCCTTCATTTGTATTGATGGATATCCAGGCTTCTACAGTGGTCACTTATGTGTATCAACTAATTGGAGATGACGTGAAAGTAGAACGAATTGAATACAAAAAATCCTAAAGTCAGGCCTGTTCTGATGATTTTTCTTTTTTTTCATTGCCTTGTTTAAATCAAGTAATTAAACACTTAAAAGCCACACAATTGTATGACTTTTATAATATTTTGCAGTGAAATATAACATTGTCTTCTCTGTTAATATGTAATTGCTCTAAGTTTCTTGTAAACTATAAGAATATATTTAGTTTACAATATATGATTTCTATGATAACAATGTCCACCACACAGTAAATGGTCCTATGTAAAGAAAAATTACCCTTGTAAAATCTTAAAAGTTGATACTTGGAAACTTATTACAAAAGTAGTGCATGAAAAGAAAAAATGTAGACTTCCCTGTATACATTTTTCTCTTCCTTAGTAATAAATGTTTACCTTTCATTCTTTCTTGATAATCTGTGTTTAATTGTTAAAAAAAAATAAAAATGACCAAATGAAACTAGATATAGATATTAAAATAAAGAGGTAGATAGATAGATGAAATGACTTTTCAGAGTTCTCTGAACATTGTGTCAGATTGTTGGACTTCAAAATGTAATATACCGGCCAGCACCGTGGCTCAATAGGCTAATCCTCCGCCTTGCGGTGCCAGCACACCAGGTTCTAGTCCCAGTCGGGGCGCCAGATTCTGTCCTGGTTGCCCCTCTTCCAGGCCAGCTCTCTGCTGTGGCCCGGAAGTGCAGTGGAGGATGGCCCAAGTGCTTGGGCCCTGCACCCACATGGGAGACCAGGAGAAGCACCTGGCTCCTGGCTTCGGATCAGCGCGGTGCAGCGGCCATTGGAGGGTGAACCAACGGCAAAGGAAGACCTTTCTCTCTGTCTCTCTCACTGTCCACTCTGCCTGTCAAAAAAAAAAAAAAAAAAAAAAGTAATATACCATATATTGATGTACTAAATCAGCAGTGATTCTTCAAATTTGCCCCTCCCATTTTTTTTTTTTTTTTTAAAGATTTGAAGGGCAGAGAGAAAGAGGTCTTTCATCACTGGTTCACTTCCCACATGGCCACAATGGCTGCAGCTGGGCCATTCTGATGCCAGGGGCTTCTTCCAGATCTCCCAGGTGGGTGCAGGGGCCCAAGGACTTGGGCCATCTTCCACTGCTTTCCTAGGCCATAGCAGAGTGCTAGATTGGAAGTAGAGAAGCTGGGACTTGAACAGCACCCATATTGGATGCCGTTGCTGCAGGCCAGGGCTTTAACCCATTGCGCCACAGTGCCAGCCCCCAAGACAATTTTTTAAAAAGAGATTTTATTTATTTAGAAGGCAAAGCCATAGAAAGCAAGAGACAGACAAAGAGAGATCTTCTTCTGCTGGAAGATCCCAAAATGGCCACAATAACCTAGTCTGGACAGGCCAAAGCTTGGAGGCTGAAACTCTATCCTGGTCTTCCACATGGGTGGCTGGGACCCAAGTGTACTTGGATCATCACCCTTGCCTTCCCTGGCACAGTGGTAGGAAGCTGAATCCGTAGCCAGGACTCAAGCAGCACTCCATATGGGATGTCAGCATCATAAGCTGTGGCTTGAACCAGCTTTTAATAAAACAACTTAGATTAGCAGGGAAGCACCTGGAGAAAATATGATAATTAAGAATCCTTTCGTTAATGCAATGTATTCCACTTAGTCTAGTTTGAGAGTCCAGGTGTGTGTTTGGCAAGTTTCATAAGATAGGGCAAATCATATTTCTTAAAAGATTTATTTTATTTGAAAGGCAGAGTTGGGGCCAGTGTAGTGTAGCGGGTAAAGCCGCTGCCTGCAGTGCTGGCATCCTATATGATTGCCAGTTTGAGTCTCGGCTGCTCCAGTTCCAATCCAGCTCTCTGCTATGGCCTGGAAAAGCTGTAGAAAATAGCCCAAGTCCTTGGGCCCCTGCACCCATGTGGGAGACCCAGAAAAAACTCCTGGTTCCTGCCTTCAGGTCAGCCCAGCTCCAGCCATTGTGGCCAACTGGGGAGTGAACCAGTGGATGGAAGACTGCTCTCTCTCTCTGCCTCTCCTCCTCTCTTTGTGTAACTCTGACTTTCAAATACATAAAATAAATCTTTTTTTTAAAAAAAGGCAGAATTACAGAGAGAGGAGAGACAGGAAGAGATCTTCCATCTACTCGTTCACTCCCTAAATGGCCACAAAAGCTGAGGCTGGGCCAGTCCAAAGCCAGGAAATTCCTCCAGGTCTCCCACGTGGGTGCAGGGGCCCAAGCACCCTGGCCATCCTCTGCTGCCCCCACAGGCACACTTACAGGGAGCTGAATAGGCAGTGAACAGCCAGGAATCGAACCAGAACCCACATGAGATGCTGGTAATACAGCAGTTGCCTAACCTGCTACATCACAGCATTGGCCCCTCTATTTACGTTTTCAAGTTATATTTAAGTAGCAAATATTTACTGAGCACCTACTTTGTAGGTCAGGTGTTACCTATATCAGCTGCTATCCTGTATCTGAGTATTTTAGAATTTTTCTTACCACAATCAGGAAAATACTTGTGGGATATTCTAATGTTTTACTGCTTTAAGATTTAACTGTAAACAGAGAAAACAAATTATATAATGTGTTTGTCAGACTTAGAGAAAATAATTCAATTTTAAGTGACAAGAAATTTAATTATATCTAGCTAGAAATACAAGCATATACTATACATATTTAATTACATAAATATCATTGGCACGTAGAACTGTATCAGACCAATTACACTGTTGTACAAGTTTGTGAACAAATGAATTGCTTAATGGTTGAATAACAATACTATCCTAACTGTTGAGAGGACACAATTCACAACCCCTTCCTGACCTTTGGCACAGAATCTGAGTGTCAGTTGGTGTTTGAATTCAGTACCCAGCACAAGGCTGTCAGGTCAGCATCAGATGCTCTCCCTGTTCTTCGATTGACATTGATTGCATACATTTATTTAGCAAGTCTTCCTCCTTTCTTTCTTCATTCAGGTAGAATTCAGAATCATTTGAAGAAACTGAAAGAAATAAGAGTTTATATTGTCTGTTTTGGAAATAAAGTTCTATGTATGACTTTCAAAATTACTTAGTTTATTAAAAAGCCTTTAGCAAAAAACGGCAATTTTCAAAAATTTTGGTCATCTCCTCCTTCCCCCAAATCTTTACTCTTTAAGATACCCAGTATTCTAGCAAGTTACTATATTGCAAAGTCTATTACTAAGCCCCGCAGTCTTGGTTGAAGGGAAGTTAAAGTCAGTTATATCTTCAGAATATTTTCCTTTAGTTCCTTCTCATCACCACAAGGACTTTCCCCCTTTTCTTTCTAGAACCACTTACCTCCCCCCTGCCCTTTCCCCCATTTCTTGGATAGACATAGTATATTTATAGCAGAACTGACATAACAATGGGATATTGATTCAGAAAGCCTAATTTCCTATACCCACCTCCCTACCCACCGTGGTAGTTTCTAGAAAATTATTTAGCTTCCACTTAATCATTTTCTGAGGAATACTTCTGGTCATTTGATCTTCCTGTTTTGACTTTTTCATTTTGCAATACTTGTAGTAGAAGGAAGGATCGTTTTGCTGATATTTCCCAAGTCTGGATTTGTCTGATTTGCATCTGCAAAATTTTGATGATATCACCTGCTTGGCTTGCTACCACTGTCTCACTGAGGATCAGACAGTGGTATAAGTGGTACAGCCCGCTGTAAACTGCTAGATGCTATATAAAATATGTTGTCCATCTAGAAGTGGCAGTGATTCAAAAGAAGTGCTGTCACTTGAAAAAGTCACATTTGTGGCTCTCAGTTCTAACAAAGTCATTCTCTATTAAGTCTCTGGCCTTGATATCATAAATATCTTCACGGTGAACAATGTGTTCTTTTAAATGAAAGCATAAGATATATTTCATGTTTCTTATTTGGAGAGAACAGTAAAAGCAAATCACATTCTAAATTTTTTTTCTTTCATTTTATTTGAAAGGCACAGAGAGAATTCTTCCATCCACTCCCCAGATGCCCCAATAGCCAGGGCTGGGCGAGGCCACAGCCAGGAGCCCAGATCTCCATCCAGGTCTCAGTACTTGAGCTGTCACCCGCTGCCTCCCAGAGTGCACGTTAGTGAGAAGCTAGAGTTAGAAGCAGAGCTAGAATCTGAACCCAAGCGCTCCAATATAGGATGCAGGCATCCCAAGCAGTGTCGTAACCACTGTGCCCAGTACCCACCTCATGTTCTAGATTCTTTAATATCTTCATAATAGAAATGAAACCATGTTTGGTTTAATATTTTTAAGTATAACATCTCCAAAAATCTATCTTTCTAAAGTTCTACATTTACCTGGTTGCATGAATAGTCTGCTTGGTCTTCTAAAAATCTTCAGTGACTTACATCTTGTCTTAGATGCATATCCAGTTTTTAGCCTGTAAGAAAGGTAAGTATCTTAATTGGAGCCAGCACAGCAAACAGCTACCTTATGCACATGGAAAACTATCCAAATTCTTTTGTCAGATGCCAGCATCACCAAAGATACTCTTTCAGCCCCCACATCCTATGATTTATTTACTTTGAATTGCAAAGCTGTGCGGCCAGTGCTGTGGTGCAGTAGGTTAATCCTCTGCCTGTGGCACCGGCATCCCATATGGGTGCCGGTTCTAGTCCTAGCTGCTTCTCTCCCAATCTAGCTCTCTGCCATGGCCTGGGAGAGCAGTGGAAGATGGCCCAAGCTCTTGGGCCCCTGCATCTGCTTGGGAGACCTGGAAGAAGCTCCAGGCTCCTGATTTCGGATCTGCTCAGCTCTGGCCATTGCAACCATTTGGAAAGTGAACCAGCAGATAGAAGACCTCTCTGTCTCTCCCTCTCATTGTCTGTAATTTTACCAAATAAAATAAAATCTTTAAAAAAATGCAAAGCTGTGATAACGAAATCTGAATTAAGCCTCCTTAGTCTTTTCTTCCTTTTCCTTTTTCTATAGTATTTCCCTGTGCAGAAGCAACCTCACACTTCTTTACAAGTGTTTGCATTATTTTGAACTTGAGTTGGAAATCATTTTGAAAAGAACAGTCTGTATTTCTAGCCAATCAAGACCTTTTTTCAGTTCCACAAAATATGTTCTAAGTGGCATATCCCAGTCAGCTCAGTAAAGTAAGATAACATCCTCTTACGCAGTCTTTGTCCTACCTATTCTTAATTTAGCAAAGTGAACATATTAGGTAACAACCTTTAATTTCACTTAGCTGTCCTTCAAATAAAATTGAGTACATCTTCCCCCTTCAAAGAGTAAGGAATAGACCCACCCTTCTTTGTTTCTCACTGGTCGCCATAAGGAATGCTGTATGATCATTTCAGGCGTGGCTGCAGTTGCAATGCTGGACTCCTCTCTGTCCACCTGGTGCCGCCAAGTAGTGCAGGGCTGATGCAGCTTCCGTGAGCAGCCAGAGCTGAGGCGGTTCTTGTGTGGAGTGAGGACACCTGTCACACAAACCACCTGTTAGAAGACTCGCGTGAGAACTGGGGAGAAGCCAACTGGGGGTGCACCTGCCTGGCTTTGGCGAGCTGTGCTGCATCACGTGCACGTACTGCCTCTTCATTAGCGTCCTCAGATAGTTGGCATCATAGATCTTGGCAATGCTGCACAGAGAGCGCTTCTGGCCTATGGTGAGGTCTGGGTGCTAAAAGACAGAGCAAGAGTGTAGATCGTCTGGACTGGACTGGACTGTAGACCAGAGGTCGGCAGTATTCCTAGTCTGAAAGGATGAGCCTTCACTGGAGTTGCATCATCTATATTTAAGCAAATTCAACTATGTTAGCTTAGCTGGTGTGTGTGTGTGTGTGTGTGTGTGTGTGTGACTATTTACACCTTGTAAGTCTGCTTGCAATTCCAGCCAAGTGATTCAAAGGCCCTGTGAGGTTTGAGAAAGTGAATCTCAGTTCTGTCAGCAAGTCTCAGTTCTCAGGTGCTTCTTGAGGTCTAACAGTACCTGAAAGCAACACGGTTACTCTGTCTCAAAAAAAAAAGTAACAGTCTTCACTAATCACAGAATAACAACTGCTGGACATACTGAAGGGACAGTAGGGTTGGTCTCTAAATATTTTGAGATTTTCATTGCACTTAATGATTTTAGAAGTTAATGCTTGGGCCGGCACTGTGGCATAGTGGGTAAAAGTGCTACCTGCACTGCTGGCATCTGATATGGGCGCCGGTTCGAGTCCCAGCTGCTCCACTTATGATCCACTCTCTGCTATGGCCTGGTAGAGCAGTAGATGATGGCCCAAGTGCTTGGGCCCCTGCACCCACATGGGGGACCCGGAAGAAGCTCCTGGCTCCTGGCTTCGGATCCACTTAGCTCTGGCCCTTGTGAACCAGCGGAAGGAAGAGCTCTCTCTGTCCCTCTCTCTCTAACTATACCTCTCAATAAATCAATCTTTAAAAAAAAAGTTAATGCTCACTTAATATGCAAGGCTGCACTTAAATACGTACACACACACACACACACACACACAGAGGATTTACTTTCCTGAATTGGTAATGCAGAAAAAAAGTCAAAATGGTAGTCAGAAGGATTGACAGGTGTGCATAAATCTTAAGTAACACCAATCTGTTTTGCTCCGGAGATAATTTTTGTAGCACCTAAAATTGTTAATGAGGGCTACATGTCAGCATTTATAAAATCCGTATTGCCACTTTCTTCACTTACTCTAATGTTGTAGTTCTTGAATAAAATCTTTATGAGGTTGAGTTTCCTAGTATGAAGTTTTTCTTGAGTGAGCATCTTTGTGGTTGGGGCATTAAGTGTCCTGAGTGAAGGACGAAGCCCTGAAAGAACTCTTAGGGAATCTGTGATCCGAACATTCAGTCATGAATGTGTCCTCCAGACACTGACTGCTGGACAGCCTCCTGGCCTGTCATCTGCAGTGCCTCACCATCTAGGTGGCTTATCTTCAAGAAAAGCTCTGAATACAAAGAATGCTGTATTTGAATAGTTCCCTGTTGGCATACCTTTAGAATGGATGTGTCTGTTATCAATTTAGGGATGCGAATTGTTTGAATTTGAGGCGTTTTCCATAACCCTTGTATCTTGGCTATGTGAGAGTTCACTTTGTGTCCACCTTTGGTTTTATCTGTGGGCCAAGGACATAATCACACGAATTTCAGAGACAAAGATCAGCTCACAAATTTATTAAGATCTAAGTACTGGAGCCAGCGTGTGGTGTAGCAGGTAAAACCGCCGCCTGAAGTACCGGCATCCCATATGGGCCCCAGTTTGAGTCCCAGCTGCTCCACTTCTGATCCAGCTCTCTGCTGTGACCTGGGATAACAGTGGAGGATGGCCCAAGTCCTTGGGCCCCTGCACCCACGTGGGAGACCCAGAGAAGCTTCTGGCTTCAAATCAGCGCAGCTCCAAAATACAAATTGCATATTTAGATTCGGGCCCCTCCCTAACATCATTACCTATATGCAAATATTCCAAAATCTGAAATTCTTCTGATCTTAAGCTTTTCAATTAAGAGATATTCAACCTGTATTTATTTATATATTTTCAGATACAGGAGTGTGCCTTTTTTCCCCTATGAAATTATAAGGACTATATATTTTTCTAAAGTAAAGCTAAGTGAACCCAAGTTTGCATATCATTAAATGTAAATGAACACATAAAAACTAACTTACTGTATTGAATACAGATAGGTATGTAATGAGTGAATTCTACCTCCCCTCCCCACAACAAGGTCACTAGCAAGAGGCCTTCAGGGACTTGTTTGTGTCCCTTCACTCCAGCAGAGAAGAGGGGAGTGTTTTTGAGAACTCAGTCATTCAAGTGAGAGGAAAATGTCAGCGCTGAGAAGTATTTATGGTGTTGGGAACTGCTCAGTGAAGTTTTCACCTTCAGTCAGCTGATTCAGCCATGAACACAGCACTTGTAGAATTCATTGCTAACTTTAAAATGCCTGCTTGAGCTCATTACCTGAAGAGGAAGAACCCACTAGATTGTTCTTTGAAACTCAGAGACTAAGAGCTACTGGGGATGCCAACAGTTTATTTTTAAAACTCCATTGTGTGGCTCACTAGGCTAATCCTCCACCTGTGGCGCTGGCACCCCGGGTACTAGTCCTGGTCGGGGCGCTGGATTCTGTCCCGGTTGCCCCTCTTCCAGGCCAGCTCTCTGCTGTGGCCCGAGAGTGCAGTGGAGGATGGCCCAAGTGCTTGGGCCCTGCACCCTCATGGGAGACCAGGAGGAAGCACCTGGCTCCTGGCTTCGGATTGGCGCAGCACCAGCCATAGCGGCCATTAGGGGAGTGAACCAACGGAAGGAAGACTTTTCTGTTTCTCTCTCACACTTACTGCCTGTCAAACAAACAAACAAACAAACAAAAAACTCCATTTTGTAGGTACTTATAGGCAAACTGGCTTCTTTGAAACATGCTATTTCTAGGTATTATCTGTTTTCTATGCACTACTCACCGGTACCTTTGGAATTTTGGTGGTAAGAATGTCCAACTGATCTGTTAAAAAAGAGAAATACATGATAATTGACAAACTTCTTAAGCACTAAGAACATACTTCAAACAGTAACTATTGCATATGCGTTTTATTTTTCATGTATGTCTTGCAGATCACCTGCAATTCTGCTTAAATCCTGATGGCTGCGAGTTTTCTCGCAGTGTGTTATCTGAGCTTTTCACCATACTAGAAAGGATGTATTCCAGCCTGTCTGTATGTATTTATTTATTCTAGGCCAGATTTGGTCTTACCTTTATAGCTTCCCAATCTAATGCCTACAGCGAGCTCAATAAAACTGGTTCGGGCTCCTGCGTTATTAATCCGTGGTATTTTCTTACTCTTTTTTAAATAAAGTAACGGGTTTTGAAAAGGCAGCCCTTTGAACAGTGATTAAGGGATGCGGGAACGGATACCTTGGCCTGTAATGTTGTAATTTGGTACAGTTTTTTTCCTTTTTTTCAAATTAAGACCGAATGCCCTCCATCCCGCCTGCTACCGCGTGTTCCCAGATCTGATCCCTGCCAAGGGCCGTGGCCACCGCCGTTAACAGCCCCTCAGCCAACCTCAGACACAGGGCCCCGCGCGGCCCGGGGGCGCCGCCCGCCCCCGCCCTCCCGGGCGCTCACGACCCCGGGCTGGGCGCCGTCCCTCCAGCCCCTCCGGGCCCCCGGCCTCACCCGCCGCCGCCGCCGCCCTCGGTCCCGGCCACCGCGGGCGGCTCGGCCGAAGAGTCGGCCCCCGGCCCCCGGCCTGGCATCTCCCCGGCGCCCGGACGGCGAGCTGCGTGCGGGAGAAGCGGGCCCTGCCCCTGCCCCCTCTGCACGCGTGCGTCAGGCGGGAGGTGTCGGGGCGACACCTCGGGAAGCTGGGAGGGCTAGGAGACCCACGACCCCGGATCGGCGGGAGTGCGTTACTTGGTGGCGAGTCTGTGCTTTCGCATCTTTTTGTGCAAGGGACGCGTCACGGGAACGAAACGCACACGCTCCCCTGAACACGAGGTGCCTTCCACCTCAGGGTTCCAGACCCTCCGCACATTTGCAAAGCTTGGGTGGCACCGTCCGAGCCCAACGCCAATGCGCAAACCAAGAATCAGGGATGCTGAGCGTTTGCCGTTATCCTTTGTCTCCCTGGCAACCAGGCTCCGGCGGCTACCCAACCGCGGGTTTCCGCCAGCCGCTTCTGCGCACGCGCAAGACCTCCTCCTTCACTCCCTCCCTCCCACCTCTCTCCTCCCCGCCCCTTCCGTGTCTCCCGGACGCGTTTCTCACGGACTTGGCCCGCGGAACGTTCCGTAGCCGGAGGTGTGACTTACCCGGAAATGTATAAGGAGCTTCGGTTGCGATTGGTTCACACCTCGCGCTCCCGGAAGTGGGTGGGCGTGGCGCCAAGGCTGAAGCGGGAAGTGTGCCGTACGGCCCCGGGGAAGCCGAGGGTCGGCATGCCTCGTTACGCGCAGCTGGTCATGGGCCCCGCCGGCAGCGGGAAGGTGAGATTTGGTGGGAAAGGAGAGAAAGGTCGTAACCCGTGTGAGGCGAGGGTTCGGTCCCGAGAGAAGGGCGTGTACCGAGGGCCTTGAGACTCCGCGCCGTTCGCTTCTGCTCTCGGTCTTCGGGGTCCTGTCGTCTTGCAAGGGGGTCGTGGCGGTTGTTGGTGGACGCTTAGGCCCCGGGTTGGAGTAGCCCAACCCTAGGAGATGGGTCTTCTTATTCTCGTTTACGGAAGGTCGCGCGCGTACGAGTCGGGACCTGAACTGGAATCCGGGTTTGTTTTGTTTTTCTGACTCCAGAATCCTGCCCTTTCTCACTCCCAGGAGGCTAAAGTGGGGTCTTTCTGGGTGTTTCCCAAAGCCTGGGACGTGGACTTTTGGTATTTGAAGGGATTTTAGATGGCAGTGGGACCCCGCGTTACGGAACATCGGCTCGTATGCTCAGAACATTCCCTCTTCCCGTTCTGGATTCCACTGCGGTGAAGCTACGCTGGCTTCTAACGTAGCTCCATTTTTTTTTAAAAAAAGGACTTATTTTATTTATTTGAAAGTCAGAGTTAGAGAGAGAAGGAGAGGCAGAGACAGAGAGAGGTCTTCCATCCGCTGGTTCACTCCCCAACTGGCTGCAATGGCCGGAGCTGAGCCAATCCAAAGCCAGGAGCCAGGAGCCTCTTCCCGGTCTCCCACGTAGGGGCAGGGGCCCAAGGACTTGGGCCATCTCCCACTGCTCCCCAGGCCACAGCAGAGAGAGCTGGATTGGAAGTGGAGCAGCCGGGACTTGAACCGGCACCCATATGGGATGCCGGCCCTGCAGGTGGGGGCTTTACCCGATACACCACAGCGCCAACCCCCATGATGTTTTTTGTCAACAAATATTAAGAACATGGTGGTAGTAGCACTCAAATACTGTAAAACCAGTGAAGATATTGAGCAAATAACGTAGTTGGGGAAACACTGGAGTTTGTGGAGGTGTTAGGAGGCGTCAGTGTTCAGCAGAAGCACCTGCTGAGCCACTGCCCCCTCCTATGCAGGAGGTTCCACACGGGACTGAGATTTGGCCGTCTCCTGCCCAGGGGCACAGCCTGGCTGGGAAGAACGGTGACTGCCAGTTAAGATACAGCTGGATGGGGAACTGGCTGTTAGCCTAGCAGTTAAGAGGTCTGTGTCCCACGTCTGCACGTCTGGGTTCAGTGCCTGGTGCCAGCTCCTGACTCCAGCTTCCTGCCGGTGCAGGCCCAGGGAGCCAGCAGTGGTGGCGCAAGAGATTGGGTTCCTGGGTCCAGCACCGCGGTGCCGCAAGTTGGGCTGCCACCTGTGACACCAGCATCTCACGGGCACTGGTTCAGTTCCCGGCTGCTCCACTTCTGCTCCAGCTCCCTGCTAATGTATCTGGAAAAGCAGCAGGAAGTGGCCCAGTGGTTTGGCCCCTGCCCCCCATGTGGGAGACCTGGATAGAATCCTGGCTTTGGTGCAGCCGTTTGAGGAACGAATCAGCAGATGGAAGATCTCTCTCTGTCTCTCCTCCTCTCCCTCTAACTCTGCATGTCAAATAATCTTAAAAAAAAAAAAAAGAAAAAGAAAAGAAACTGGGTTCCTGCCAGCTGCGTGGCAAATCTGGATTAAGATCTTTCTCTCTCTCTCTCTCCCTCCCTCCTTCCCTCCCTCCCTCCCTCTTAAAATTTAAAATAAATAAAAAAGGAATGAGAAGACAATGCGGTGTATGGAGAAGGCTTCCTAGGCAGAGAAAACAGTGTGTGTGAAGGCACTAAGGGGAGAGCATGATGGGAATTATTTCTTTAGACAGAGGGTGGGAGGGATAAACAAGTAGATGCAGGATTTTTATGTGGTGTAGTAAGGACTACACAAGGGATAAGGAATCTCTGAACCAGAATTTGAGGGGCCAGTGTGGTGGTGTAGCAGGTTAAGCTGCCATCTGCAATGCCAGAATCCCATATGAGCATCATTTCCAGTCCCGGCTGCTCCACTTCTGATCCAGGTCCCTGCTAATGTGCTTGGGAAAGCAGTGGAAGAGGGCCGGAGGAGCTGGGTCCCTGCCGCCCACATGGGAGACCTGGGTGGAGTTCTGGTTCCTGGCCTCAGCCTGGCCCAGCCTCGACCATTGCAGTCATCTGGGGAGTAAACCAGTGAATAGAAGACCGATCTCTCTCTCTCTCTCTCTCTCTCTCTCTCTCTCTCTCTCTCTTCCTGTCTCTGGTACTTTGCCTTCCAAATGAATAAATAAAATCTTTTTTTTTTTTTTTTTTTTTTTTTAAGTTGCAAACTGCTAGCCCACCTCCAGGCTGTATATTGGCCTTGGTGTTCCCTCATCTAGAAATGCTCTTCCTCTGAGTTGGCAAAACATTCCCGTAGGCTCAGGTATCCCCTACTAAGAGACACCGTCCCTGGCCGTCCTACCTAGGTCTTTGTTTGGACCTTGCTGGTTCTAGTGGAGACACGATGTGTTGGTTGCTGCACCGTGTAACCAGAAGCCTCCCCTTTGAGTTCCTTTTCTTCCACGTTAGAGCAGTGATGGGCCTTGGTTATCTTGAAGGGCATCCCAGTTAGAGAGGAGGCACCTGAGGGCAGAGTGGGGAAGCACCTTCCCCAGAGTTCCCATGAGTCCACGCTCATCTAGATCTGTCGCCATTGTGTATCCTGGCTCCCAGCCCAGTGCCTTTCCTGTGTGTTCAGTCAGCCTCCTGGCACCGCGTGGCCTCGGTGGACACTGCCCCCAGGGTGGGGGGAGGGTAGCTCTCCACTGCCTGTTGCTCTAATCCTCATGCCTTGCTTCACTGCAGAGCACTTACTGTGCCACCATGGTCCAGCACTGTGAAGCCCTTAACCGGTCCGTCCAGGTTGTCAACCTAGATCCGGCAGCCGAACACTTCAGCTACCCAGTGATGGCTGGTGAGTCCCGAGCAGAGCCTTCCCTCAGGGTGAGGAGGAGGGAGGGAGGGAGTTTGGGGGCTCAGCGACAGAAGCTGAAAAATCAGCAGGTGGTCCCCTGGTTTTGGGGCTGATGTAAGAGTTGAAAGTAAGTGTCCTGCTCCCACCTCTCCCTTCCCTTCTGCCCCCTGCATGTTAGCCCTGCTGTAGTGAATCTGATAGACTGCCGCTGGCCACAGCGAGTGCAGCCTGGATGGTTCTTTTTTGACAGGCAGAGTGGACAGTGAGAGAGACAGAAAGAAAGGTCTTCCTTTGCCGTTGGTTCACCCTCCAATGGCCGCCGCGGCTGGTGCGCTGCGGCCGGTGCACTGCGCTGATCCAAAGCCAGGAGCCAGGTATTTATCCTGGTCTCCCATGGGGTACAGGGCCCAAGCACTTGGGCCATCCTCCACTGCACTCCCGGGCCACAGCAGAGAGCTGGCCTGGAAGAGGGGCAACCGGGACAGAATCCGGTGCCCCAACCGGGACTAGAACCCGATGTGCCGGCGCCGCAAGGCTGAGGATTAGCCTGTTGAGCCGTGGCGCCGGCCTTGGATAGTTCTTAAAAATTCTCCTGCTGTGTTCATTGAAATGTCTGTTGAACACATATTTTATGGCAGACGCCAGAGTTACAGCGGGGAACAAGAAAGACGCATAGCTCTGCCATCGTCAGCCTCTCAGTGGCGGGGGGGAGGGGGGCACAAGCAGTGATGGACACTTTCCAGAGTGTGGTCAGGGCTGCAGAGTGGCCGACGAGAAGGCACACGTGGGAGACGTTGCTGTTTGTGGGATGGTCAGGGACGGCGTCTCTGAGGAGGGGATCCGTGCGCCTGGACCTGAAGGTTGGTAGGAAGCTCGCCGAGCTGGGAGCAGGCCTTCCAGCGTGAGGACACCAAGGCCAGTAAATAGCACAGGGACGAGAGAGGCTTTGCAGAGATGAAAGAGAGTGGGGGCGGGAGGGAGGGAAAGAGTAGGGGCTGGTTGGATACGAAGAGCTTGGATTTTATCCTGTTAGTGGGGTGCCGCTGAGCGCTTTTAAGCCCAGGAGGTTGTCATTGATTTATGTCTTTAAAGATAGGTCGGGGCTGGCATGGCGTAGCGGGTTAGGCTGTCACCTGCCGTGCTGGCATCCCGTGTGGATGGGCACCAGTTCGGTCCCTGCTGCTCCACTTCCGATCCAGCTCCCTGCTAATGTATGTATGTGGGAAAGCAGCAGAGGATGGCCCAAGGCTTGGGCCCCTGCACCTATGTGGGAGGCCCAGGAAAAGCTTCTGACTCTTGGCTTTGGCCTCACCATGTTGCAGCCATTTGAGGGGTGACCCAGTGGATGGAAGATCTGTATCTCCCCCTCTCTGTGTAACTCTGCCTTTCAAATAAATAAATCTTAGAGAGGTCAGGCACTTGGCTGAAAACTGGACTTGAGGGAGGCTAGAGTGAAGCAGGGACCAGCACTGCAGCTGTCGTAGCTGCCCAGGTGCCGTGGATTAGGGCAGTGGTGGGGTGGAGGAGGCAGACACACCGTGTTTCTGTTTTGCAAGCAGAATTGACAGCATTTGGTGGAGGTGGATTCCGGGAAGGTGAGGAGTCGGGAGTGACTCGTAGGTGTCTGATTTGAGCTGTTGAGCGCATTATAGTTGTTCCAAGGAAAAAGGCAATTCATTTTGCTTTTGTGGTAGTTCTCTCTGTACATATAAGACGCAACTGGATCTGATTATGTGGAATTCAGAGCTCTTCCCCGGTGATACAGATCTGTGGGTTGATAGGATATGGATCGTACCTGAAGCCACAGGACTGGGAGGGAGCGAGGTTGGAGAAGAGGTGTGAGAGCAAGCGTGGGGGTCGGCTGCTCTTGAGAGGCCGGGTAGAAGACATGGGGTCAGGGAGGGCGGAGGACGGAGAGGTCGTTTGAAGAAGGAAGAGGTGAATGGGGTGTCAGGTATGGCTGAGAAGATGGGGACAGAGAAGTGGCCGTTAGATTTGGGAGCATGGACACAGTGGTGGCCTTGACCAGGATTGCAGTGCAGTGTTGGAGGTGACGCTGTGTAGGCACTGGGAGGAGAGCTTTGCTGTGAGAGGGAGCAGAGGAATAACTGCCGGGGCTGAGGATCAAGGAAGGTTTCTGTTTGGACTGGAGATAGTCACTGGACACACTTGTATGCAGAAGAGAACAACCTAGTAGAAAGAGAGAAACCGAAGGTGCCAGAGAAGGTGGAACTGGCTGCGAGGGTTGGGGGGCCCCACACAAGCAGAGGGTTTTGGCTCTGCTGGGAGAGGGGTGCTGCTCTCACCGTGACAGGAGTGAAGGCCGCCGGAGTGAGTGGTGGGAAAATGGGAAATTCTGTGTTGCTGGCCTCTGATTTCTGTTGATGACGAGTATGCGAGTGGGCGGGGTGAGGGGAGGCAGCTTGACAGGTTGAGGAGATACCGAAAAGCATTGCAGTTCTTCAGGATTGTTTGCAGCAAAGTACACAAGCCAGCTTACGTAAAATGATTTAATAGGGGCCGGCGCTGTGGCGTAGCGGGTAAAGTTGCTGCCTGCAGTGTCGGCATCCCGTATGGACACCGGTTTGAATCCCGGCTGCTCCACTTCAGATCTAGCTCTCTGCTATGGCCTAGGAAAGCAGTGAACAGTGGCCCAGGTCTTTGGGCCCCTGCACCTGGGTGGGAGACCCAGAGGAAGCTCCTGGCTCTGGCTTCAGATTGGCACAGCTCTGGCTGTAGTGGCCATCTGGAGAGTGAACCACTGCCTTTCTGTAACTCTGCCTTTCAAATAAATACATAAATAAATGTCAAAAAAAAAATTAAAACCTAAGGGAGAAAATTCTAATTTCCAAAAACAAATAAGAGACCCCTATGTCTGCCAGAATTGGATAACCCTGTCCTGTGAGTGATGTAGATACATTGTCTCGTGTAATTCTCCTCTTACCTCAACATGTCTGATGCTGCCGGCAGCTTATAGATAAGCAAAGTGAGACCAGAGGTTAGCTAGCTTTTGCAGAGCTGTTGGGGTGAGAAATGATAATTGAGGGGTGGGAGCTGGCTGATCCGGAAGGATGCTTGCTGGAATGCCTGCATCTCACATTGGAGATCCTGAATTTTTTTTTTTTTTTTTTTTTTTGACTGGCAGAGTGGACAGTGAGAGAGAGACAGAGAGAAAGGTCTTCCTTTGCCGTTGGTTCACCCTCCAATGGCTGCCACAGCCGGTGCACTGCGGCCAGCACATCGCGCTGATCTGATGGCAGGAGCCAGGAGCTGCCTCCCGGTCTCCCATGTGGGTGCAGGGCCCAAGGACTTGGGCCATCCTCCACTGCACTCCCGGGCCACAGCAGAGAGCTGGCCTGGAAGAGGGGCAACCGGGACTAGAACCCGGTGTGCCGGCGCCGCAAGGCAGAGGATTAGCCTATTGAGCCGCGGCGCCGGCCCGAGATCCTGAGTTGAAGTCCAGGTTCTGCTCCCAATTCCAGCTTCCCGCTGATGTGCACCCTGGGAGATAGCAGTTGGTGACTTTCGGAGCTGAGTCCTTTCCACACGTGGGAACCTGCACTGGGTTCTCCAGGCTTCGCCTGACCCAGCTTCAGCTGTTGTAGGCCCTTTAGGAGTGAACCAGCGGGAGGGAGCTAGCTCTCTCTGTTTGTCTCTTTCTTTCCCTCTGTGCCTCTCAAATAAAAAGAAAAGTTGGTTTCTTTGTTCGATTTTGTTTTACTTGTTTTGAAAAAGATAATATTGGGGGCCAGAGCTGCGGCACAGTAGGTTAATCCTCCATCTGTGGCGCTGGCATCCCATATGGGCACTGGTTCTAGTCTTGGCTGCTCCTCTTCCGACCCAGCTCTATGATAGGGCCTGGGAAAGCAGCAGAAGCAGGCCCAAGCACTTGGGCCCCTGCACTCGTCTGGGAGACTCGGAAGAAGCTCCTGGCTCCTGAGCTCTGGTCATTGCGTCCATTTGGGAAGTGAACCAGTGGATGGAAAGACCTTTCTCTCAATCCCTCTCACTGTCTGTAATTCTGTCTCTCAAATAAATAAATACAATCTTTAAAAATAAATAAATAAGTAATATTGGGGCCAGCGCTGTGGCATAGAGGTTAAGCCTCTGTCTGCAGCATTGGCATCCCATATGGGCACCAGTTTGAGTCCTGGCTGCTCTACTTCTTTTTTTTTTTTTTTTTTTTTTTTTTTGACAGGCAGAGTGGACAGTGAGAGAGAGAGACAGAGAGAGAAAGGTCTTCCTTTGCCGTTGGTTCACCCTCCAATGGCCGCCGCTGCAGCCGGCGCACCGCGCTGATCCTGGCAGGAGCCAGGAGCCAGGTGCTTTTCCTGGTCTCCCATGGGGTGCAGGGCCCAAGCACCTGGGCCATCCTCCACTGCACTCCCTGGCCATAGCAGAGAGCTGGCCTGGAAGAGGGGCAACCGGGACAGAATCCGGCGCCCCAACCGGGACTAGAACCCGGTGTGCCGGCGCCGCAAGGTGGAGGATTAGCCTATTGAGCCACGGTGCCGGCTCTGGCTGCTCTACTTCTGATCCAGCTTCCTGATAATTGCCCGGGAAAGCAGTAGAAGATGGCCCAAGTGCTTGGGCCCCTACACCCACGTGGGAGACTTGCAAGAAGCTCCTGGCTCCTGGCTTCAGATTAACCCATCTCTGGGCATTGTGGCCATTTGGGGAGTGAACCAGCAGATGGAAGACGTCTCTCTCTCTGTAACTCTGCCTCTCAAATAAATCTTAAACAAAAAAGAAAGAAATAGGTACTACACAATTACATGGTTCAGAATGCAAAAGGAAGCAAAGAGTAAGTGTGCGGGAATGACCGTTCCCTCCTCTCTGTGCCGCTGTCAGGCACTGGGGCACCCAGTGTTACTAGTTTCTGCTGTGTCCTTCCATAACGAGTCAGCATGTGAAATCTGATACACGTACACGTAGCGAGCTTTGTCTTTGACACAGATGATGGCATTCTCACGGAGTTCTGTACCTTGCATTTTCCTGGGAGCTTCTGTTACGTCAGAACTTCAAGAGGCTCTCCCTTTTTATGGCTGCGTAGGATCCCATTGTCTGGCTTTAGGATAATGGAGTTGCTTAGTTTCCAGCCAGTGGACCCTGCTGCAGTGAACAGCCATGTTCTTAAGTAGTTGCGTGTGCATAAGCTTTCGTATGGTTGTTAGTTGTTCCTAGGGAGGGTGACCGTTCTCCGATGAGTGCTTACATGCTGAGCCCTGTGTCCTTTTCAGACATTCGGGAACTGATTGAGGTGGACGATGTGATGGAGGATGATTCTTTGCGGTTCGGTCCCAATGGAGGGCTGGTGTTTTGCATGGAGTACTTTGCCAATAATTTTGACTGGCTGGAGAACTGTCTTGGCCACGTAGAGGATGACTACATCCTTTTTGACTGTCCAGGTAAGTCAGCCAGCTTTTTTTTTTTTTTTTTTTTTTTTCATTTATTTGTGTATGTGAGATTCAGAGACAGAGCTCCCATCCTGTTGGTTACTGCCTAGATGCCCCCAGGGGCCGAGGATGGGAGTGGACCGGACTGAAGCTAGAACCTGGAACCATCCAGATCGCCCACGGGGGTAGCAGGCCCAGCTGCTTGAGCCATTGCCCCCTGTCTCCTGGGGGGCACAGCAGCAGCAAGCTAAAGTGGGGGCGGATCTAGGACTCAAGCCCAGGCCCTGCAATGTGGGATGCAGGCATCCCAGGTGGGGTCTTCCCTGCTGGGCCAAATGCCTGCGTGCAGGTCAGCAGTCCGAATGCGTCATTTTCCTTGTGGTTGTGATGGCCTTGTTTGCAGTGGGAGAGAGTGAAGTGAGCATTTGTAGCTCTAAACCGTGCTACAGGAAGGTACTACATTGTAATTCATTTCTTTGCATTTATTGAGTGCTTATTGTACCCTGGAAATACCACAGAGAGCAAGGAAGCCACAGTGTCTGCTCTCCAAGAGCTCACGGTCCAGCAGAGGGCAAGAGAGGATAAACAGGATTACTCCAGTGATTTTTCTCTATCCGTTCATAGCAGGTGTCCCCCAGGAGTAGCACAGACTGACGTATAGGGGATTAGGGAGGCGTCTGGTCACGTGGCCTTTAACCAGGCCTCAGGGTGAAGCCCAGCCTGCTGGAGGCCTGGAGACGGGAGGCACAGGGTGGATAGGAGGCACTGCAAAGCCCAGAGTGGCTGGGACTCGGTGAACACAGAGGAGACGGGTGTGCAGAGGCGGTAGTTCCCTCAGCCAGGTTAGGAACTTAGACTTGAGCCTTAGCTCGCATGTGCTCACTTTTCCCCCCGCTTGTGAGTGAACGTGTGTAAACCCACAGAAGTGCAAGTGGCGTAAGTGTACAGGTGGGTGCTTATTCCAAGCTGTATGCACCTTTGTAGCACGCACTTTCACTGGCAAAAAGCTAAAATGTGAAGACCCTCATTTTCTACATAAAACCAGACGTTAGCTTGGGCTTCCCATGGTGATGGTGCCTTAGATTTTGTGATCCCTCAGAGAGGCCGTCATCCCCTTAAAAGCTGCCATGGCTTGATTTCCTTAGTGTTGTTTTTTTTTTCTTTTCCAACCACTTATGGGGAAAATTTGTTTTCTCTGATTGAGTGACTTAACAGACTTCCTGTTGGTGACGCTTGTTCTGTCCCTGATGCAGGTCAGATCGAGTTGTACACTCACTTGCCTGTGATGAAGCAGCTGGTGCAGCAGCTGGAACAGTGGGAGTTCCGAGTCTGTGGAGTTTTTCTTGTTGATTCTCAGTTCATGGTGGAGTCATTCAAGGTCTGAGGATAAATCCGTCACAGGTTTTCTCAACCATGGTTCCAAGCAAGTAACAGTCTCCTCTAACTGTTGTGATCCTGGACATTTCACAGTGTTAATTTGGCAGCTTTTATTATCCCATTGTTAAGTCTCTCTTTAATTTCCTGAAGATCTTTTGTCTAGTTTGTGGACTACCTAAATCACTAGTAGTTCTTTGGAATAGTAGGAAAAGGAGGTTAACACTGCTGTCTAAATGGAGATTTTGATCACTGGAGATTGAGCCCTTGTCGTTTGTATCCATGCCTTTGGAGCTAAGGGTCAGCTAGCTGGCTAGTAGACATGTTTTTCTTTAATATTAGCTTTTCTTTTGCCAGTTTTGTTGCAGCGCGAAGCCCCTCTATGTGGAGATGTAAGGGCTTTGATGTGTCTTCTGTTTTCTTTTACTCTTTCAGTTTATATCCGGCATCTTGGCAGCCCTGAGTGCCATGATCTCTCTAGAAATTCCGCAAATTAACATCATGACAAAAATGGATCTGCTGAGTAAGAAAGCTAAAAAGGAAATTGAGAAGTGAGTTCACTGCTCTGTCATCATCAGATCTCAGTGACAGGGATGAACCTTCCAGTATATTTATTTATTTGTGTTTAAAGACTTATTTATTTATTTATTCAAAAGGCAGAGAGACAGAAAAAGAGATCTTCTTTCTGCTGGTTCACTCTCCAAATAGCCACAATAGCCAGGGCTGGACCAGGCCAAAGCCGGGACTTAGGAACCCCATCCAGGTTTCCCACATGGGTGTCAGAGACTCAGGCACTCAAGCCACCATCTGCTTTCTGGGCGCACTAGCAGAGAGCTGGATTGAAGCAGAGTAGCCAGGGCTTGAACTGGCACTGCATCTTGGGGTGTGGGTGTTCCAGGCTGGCCCCCTCTGCTTTTCTTAGATGAGAGATTCCGTCTGTAAATTCAGTTTCCTGATTTATGTGGCCTTTTATTCATCACTTTCCTTTCTCACGTCTAAAGGTTTCTAGATCCAGACATGTATTCTTTGCTAGAAGATTCTACAAGTGACTTGAGAAGCAAAAAATTCAAAAAATTGACTAATGCTATATGTGGACTGGTAAGCTTTTTTGTTTATTAAAAAAAGATTTCTTTATTGAAAAGGCAGTTACAGAGAGAGATATCTTCCATCCCCTGGTTCACTCCATAAATGACCGCAATGACTAGGGCTGGGCCAAACCAAAACCAGAAGCCAGGAGCTTCTTCGGGGTCTCCCACACGGGGGCAGGGGCCCAAGCACTCAGGCCATCTTCCATGCTTTTCCAGGTGCATTAGCATTGTGCTGGATTGGCATGGGAGCTGCTGAGACTTCAGCTGGCGCCCATATGGAATGCCAGTGTCGCAGGCGGTGGCTTTAACAACTACCGCAGTGCCAGACCCTGGTAAGCTTTTTAAGTGTTCTGATTTGTTTTTTTGTTGTTTGAGGGGAGGGGTCCTAAATGACCTTTTCAAGTGTTTGCCCATGCACAGTGACCACCTTTATAAAAGGACAAGGAGGGAGCAGCGGGGCCACGTGCTGTCAGGTCAGCACTTCACTTAGAGGGAGCTGCTGGCGACAGGCGTCTGGCTTAGCAGTAAAGCCGCAGCTGGGACACCCGCATCCCCTATCAGGGTGTCGCTGTTCAAGTCCTGGCTTTGCTCCTCATTCTGGCTGCCTGCCCAGCCTGGGAGATGGGCGATGACTCAAGTAGTTGGCTCCCAGCCGTTCCCACGGGAGACCGGGATTGAGTTCCTGGCTCCTGGCTTTAACCAGGCTCAACCCTGACCATTGTGGACATTAAGGAGTGAGTGCATGGGAGTTGTCTTTGTCTCTCTGCCTCTCAAATAAAGGTTTAAAAAAAAAAAAGTAGTAGTAGTTATTGGCAGCAGCAAGTAAATTAACATGTCTTATTTCAAGACAGTTGGGGAGTTTGGAACAGTTTGTCCTTATGAAATTTCTGGTGCCTGTTGAATTCAGATAAATACCCACAAAAAAGAGTCCAGTTAACTAATAAGCTAGTGAGTGCTACAGCACGTCAGAGTTCAGAAAAATCGATGTTGCTATTGCCTCTGCCTGTCGTTCCAATTCCCTTGCTCCAAACACACAGGTGCTTTTAATCACTAAATACAAATAGCTATAAAAGTCGAATGTAAATTGAAAATTGTGTATTTTGCTCAACTTTCGAATGAACTTTTCCTCAAATCTCCAATTCACAGATAGACGACTACAGCATGGTTCGATTTTTACCGTACGATCAGTCAGATGAAGAAAGCATGAACATTGTGTTACAGCATATTGATTTTGCCATTCAGTATGGTGAAGACTTGGAATTTAAGGAGCCTAAGGTAATTTCTGATCTGAGTTGTGCTTTGGCTTTTGGTAGAAATATTTGCCAGCACCCAGTAGCTGCCTGCATAACCCAGGCAACTGTCTAAATTAGTTTTTTCTCTTAGTGGTGGTGGTTAACTGGGCTGACAATGACACCTTTGCTCGGCCTTTCGTTAAGGCATAGTGCTGAGTTGGTTCTCCCTGTCCTTGGGGCTTTGGGGGATGTATCAAGAGGAGGTGACAGCCACTTGAATTTAGGCTGCCCTTGCGTTTGTCAGTGGGTGGAGTGACAGTTGGTTGGCAGCAGGGCAGTAGCGCAACATCATGGCACAGTAACTCAGCACGCATCTGGAGCAGGCGCTGTGAGCGTTCCACACACAGCCTTACCTCAAAATCTAAACACGTGCTGGCTCTAACCGACGGGAATGAATGTATTCTCTCTCTTGTGTTTCCTTTGTGTCAGGAACATGACGTTGAGTCTGCCTCTTTGTTTGATGAATATTTTCAAGAACGCCAGAATGAATGAAGAGTTTGCTAAAACCTAACTCTGATGTGTGAAGAACTGGTCAGATGGGCAGACATTCTTCTCCTTGAAGGATACAGTAGTAGAAAGCTATTTATTTTCATGGAAAAAATGGTGCAGCAGCATGCCTGAGTCAGGTTCTGAAACTGCTGCCGTGTAAAGTGGAACCTGTTAGTATTATTTTCACAGCATCAAGTTAGATTAAAAGTCAGATGGGGGCCAGTGTTGCGGGACGGCAGGTTAAGCTGCTGCCTGTGATGGTGGCATCCTGTGTGAGCACTGATTCAAATCCCGGCTGCTCCACTTCTGATCCAGCTCCCTGCTGATGCACCTGGGAAAGCAGCGGAGGATAGGCCAAAGTTTTTCCGGCCCCTGCCGCCCACATAGGAGACCTGGATGGAGTTCCAGGCCCCTAGCTTTGCCCTGCCCCAACTCAGGTGTTGCTGCCATTTGGGGACTGAACCAGCAGATGGAAGATTGTCTCCCCCCCCCCCCCCCCGTTTGTCTCTGTAACTCTCTTACAAATAAATACATAAATCTTTAATAAATTAATAAAAGTAAATTGAAACCAATGCACATCGATTTGTATATGATGTAAATTAGCATCTGTGCTACAGTTAAGACCAATCTAACTGAAGGGCAGGAATGACATGGGAAGATGCATGTAAGTGTGTTCTAAAGGGGAAGAATGATCTGGAAGGATGTAGGTAAGACTGTTGCTTATCTTTATCCTCCTGGTTTCTTACATTGAGAATGTAGACGTGAGGTTTGTAGTCTCTGAGCACTTAAAAAACTTAGGCGTTGCTTGGGCAATAACTAATGCACGCACACAAAAATGTAAAAAGCATAATTTTCTCGCCACATTGAATTGTTTGCTTTCAGTATTTCTGAACTTCCTTGTGTTGCGTGCAAAAGCAGCCCCTTGGGAGTGGCCAGTCAGCCTGCTGCAGGCCAGGCCCCAGGAAAGCAAGTCTGAATCATTTGTTAGTTGATGCCAGGCATTGTGCTAAGAAGTGTTTTACATAATTCTTCCATTGACTCAGAACAGGCCCAGGCTGTATCCATCATTTGGTGACAGATCTTTCAGCTGATACAAATTAAGGAAACCTGCAACTTCGGTTAAATTTTTAATCATTCTTGGACCTAGATGGCAGAAGTACACTTGCATTGTTAAATCTGATCCATTCTAACTGAAGAAGCAAAACGTGTGGGGCTCTAGGTGTCTGTGGCAGCTTGATGTGCGGGGCTGGGACTGGGGGAGGAGTCAGGTGTCGGCAGCAAGCTTTGAGGGGTGAGCTGCCCTCACAAAGCCGAGCCATCGCGGGGGTGTGGTGTGTGGGGCTGCTTGGGGGCGTTCCTGTGGCCCCGGGAGTGTGGAAGGGGTGCAGACACCCTGGTCTCCCAAACTGCTAATCCCCCGCCCCAGTCCCAGCTGAAACAAATTTATTTCTCACAGTCCTGGAGGCTGGAAGTTTGAGATCAAAGCGTTAGCCTTGGTTTCTTGGGAGGCCTCTTACAGACAGCCGTCTTCCTGTGACCTAGCGTCTTGCCTCCATACGTCCCAGTGTTGCTGATCTTAGAGCCTGTTGCCACACAGGAGAAGAAGAAGAAAAGAGGCGCATTTTGACTGCCCGCGGGCTGCACGCCCTTCGTTTAGCTTCTAGAATCTGGTATGTGCTGTGGGCACGCTGGGAAGGGCCACATTCCGCTGCCTCACCCTCTGCCCACTGAGCTGCGAAGATGAACCTGACAGTTCAGTCCTGGGGTTTCACCGCCTCCCGGTGAGCCTGATGTGACTTCCCACAAACGTACAGCGGTTTGTGGGTGCCAGGCCCCGGGGGTAGAAGGAGGCGGCTCAGGGCTGATGGCCTGGTGGGTGAGACCAGGAACAATGAAACTTGTGCTGAGGGACAGGAAGAAAACCGAGTGAAATGGAGAGTGACTAAGGGGTGCTTGGCCTCTCCTCAGTGGAGAAATCACGTTGGGCCGCGGGGCAGGGTTCTTCAGTATGGGAGACTGGCAGGAGAAATGGGCTTTTCCCATGAACGGGTGAGACAAACCCGAGCTGTCCGCACGCTCCCGGCTTGTACACTCGGCGCTTTCGGCTCCTTGCATCCTCCCAAAGCTTACACGGTAAGTACTGCTGCCTCCGTTTGCAAGTGGAAATCACACAGATCGCAGATGTTGGAAACAGGACCAAAACCCACTGTCCACTTCTTCAGCCGCTGCGCGAAGAATCGCAGTGCAGAGTGACATGCAAATCCCTTCTCTCCTGTGTCCGGGTCCCCCATTTGTAAAAGCCGTGATTTGGGCCGGCACCGCGGCTCACTAGGCTAATCCTCCGCCTTGCGGCGCCGGCACACCGGGTTCTAGACCCGGTCGGGGCGCCGGATTCTGTCCCGGTTGCCCCTCTTCCAGGCCAGCTCTCTACTGTGGCCAGGGAGTGCAGTGGAGGATGGCCCAAGTGCTTGGGCCCTGCACCCCATGGGAGACCAGGATAAGTACCTGGCTCCTGCCATCGGATCAGCGCGGTGCGCCGACTGTAGCAGCCATTGGAGGGTGAACCAACGGCAAAGGAAGACCTTTCTCTCTGTCTCAGTGTCCACTCTGCCTGTAAAAAAAAAAAAAAAAAAAAAAAAGCCGTGATTTGGCTTCATTCATTTGCTCGACACAGTCCTTGGAGACACAGTCCTTGGAGGCTTGCTCCATACCCTGACTGTAGGCGCAGGGGATACAGCAGTGAGCCGAGCAAAAAACCCTCCCTTTCTGTACCAAAAGTAAGGGGATCCTAAGAACTAAGGGAAAAGCGAGAGAGGCAGGGAGGTGGAGTGTGATCAGGGAATGCTCCACTGGAAAGATGAGCTTTAAGGAAAAACAGGATGCGACTATCAAATTCTGTTACCAAGATCCACGCATGCGCGACACGCAGATCCGCTGCCTAGTGCTCGGGCGCCCTCTAGCGCCTCTTCAGGAGCGCGCAGCCACGGCCACCTGCGGAGGGATTGGGAGGCCGGAAGTTCCTTGTTCTGCCTTTGCCCGCCCCTTCCGGCTCACTTCCGCCTACCGCGCCCTGGTTCCCACTCCGGAAGCGCCGCGCTCTAACCCGGACCTGCACCTCTCGGTTGAAACCCCGGGGCTGCCAAGATGCCGGTAAGTGTGAGCCCAGAGTGTGCGGGAGACAGCGGGAAGTCGTGCGTGCGACGGGAGATGCGTGCCTGGCAGGGCAGGCCGGAAGCGGGCGGCTGGCGAAGGGAGGGGTTGGTCCCTGAGGTCTGGGGGGCCTGGGGCTGCTGTCCGCCGGGGTCGACTGCGGGGCAGGAGTGGGCCACGGCCCCGACGCGGGAGGAAGCCGCCGCGGCGCGTCCTGCCCGGTAGTCCCCGGTGGCGGCGCCCCCTCGCCCCTCCGCTCCCGGACGCGGGCAGGGTACCCAGAGGCTCTTTCGAGCCCCGAACCCAGGGCTGCGCTTTTCATGTTTCAGGGTCCAGCTTCTCCTTCGCCCCCGCACCCAGTCAAGCCCACTTCCTCCTCCGCCGCAGGGGGCGTGTCCCCGCCCGACCCCGCCTGACCCCGCTTCCTCCACTCCTCCCTGCCACCCCCGCCGGGGCCAGGGGGCCTGGGGCCCTCGGAGCCGACCCAGGGTCCGCAGCTGGTTTCCAGATGGAAGCATCAGAGTGGGGGTGGAAACAGGCCGTGCGGTTGTGTGTGGGCCCCCGGTTGCGGGGTAGGAGCACGGTGGCCCTGCGGCGCGTGGGATACCTGCAAGCTGATGGCTGTGGCAGCCGCCAAGGCCAGCACTCAGGTGCCCATGAGTGAAAGGAGTATTTTCAGGTGGTGACAAACGCCGTGAAGCAGGTGGATCGAGACCGTTGCTGCTCCAGATAACGCATACCTGTCCGGGAAAAGAACCGGCTGTTGTCGTAGATAATGTTTCACGAATCCCATAGGTAGCATTGACTCCTGGGGACTGCTAGGCGGAGCCGAGCCACACGCTGTGTAGACGCTCCCGTGTGCCCCTCGTCACTGACCCTGCAAGGCAGATACCATTGTTTCTGTCACAGAGAAGTTAGCAGCTCCTGCAGGGCCCCGGCCGTGGACTCTGAAGCCCTGTGTGCAGTCCAGTTGCCCGTAAAGCGCCCTGGACTTACCCTGTGATTGCTCATTTTATCTGGATCCATTAGCCTGGGAATTCTTTAATCCCAAGGACCGTGTTCTGGTGTGTTGCCATAGCACCCTGCTACATGTGCGCGTGGCTGGTGAACCAGTGAACACATGGTTGGGGCCCGTGTTGTCTTACAGAAAGCCAGCCGTCTTGTAAAAAGCAGAACCAGGAATCGGCATACAAACCGTTCTCATAAATGTGACTTTTCTTTGTCTCTTAACTCACTGACCCACAGGAGGCAGAATATGTCTCATTTTGCAAATTTGAAAACAGGCTGAGAGAAAAAAGTGGTGTCTTGGTGAAAGACATAAACCCAGGAGAGAGCAGATCTGAAAAGCTGGAGCTTGGGTTCTGGTTTAAATGCAGCTGGGGGTAGCTACCCCTGATTTAGATGGTGTTTGCTTATGTCCGTGTGGAAATACTCCCACCCACCACCCCTGTGCTGTCACTAACCGTGGAACAGGAGAGATGCACAGTGTCACAGTGTTGCAGTATTTGTATTTCTACCATAAACGTAACACAGATAGAGCCTTAAGAACATAGACAGTGGTAAATGTAATTTGAAAATTAGGAGATGATGAGAACATATACCTTTGTTTTTTTAATAAATATAATTGTAAGGTTATATAATTTAAAGTTTTTATTTATTTGAAAGGAAGAGTAACGGGGGCCGGCACCGTGGCTCACTTGATTAATCTTCCGCCTGTGGCGCCAGCATCCCATATGGGCGCCGGGTTCTAGTCCTGGTTGTTCCTCTTCCAGTCCAGTTTTCTGTTGTGGCCCGGGGCGGGGGGGGCAGTGAAGGATGGACCAAGTGCTTGGGCCCCTGCACCCTCATGGGAGACCAGGAGAAGCACCTGGCTCCTGGCTTCGGATCAGCGTGGTGCCGGCCATAGCGGCCATTTGGGGAGTGAACCAACAGAAAGAAGACCTTTCTGTCTGTCTCTCTCACTGTCTATAACTCTACCTGTCAAAAAAAAAGAAAAGAAAAAGGGAGAGTTACAGAAAGAGAGTAAGTGACAGAGACAAACAGATCTCCATCCCCTGGTTCATGGCCGAAGCCAGGAGCTTGGAACTCCGTGAGCATCGGAGGGAGCTGCATTGGAAGTGGAGCAGCTGGGACTCAAACCGGTGCCCACGTGGGATGCCAGCACTGCAGTCAGCAGCTTAACCCACTGCACCACAAACGGGTTTAAATGTTTGGGAATGACTGTTTAATAACCAGCTTGCACCATTAAGTTGGTTTTCTTCTGTGTGAGAGATAAAGAGACACACACAGCACTCCCATCTGTTCATGATGGCCAGGGCTTTGCTGTGGCTAACGCCTGGGCACAGGAACACAGGCCTGGTCTCCCACATGGCTGGCAGCGACCCGATCGCTTGAGCCATCACCACTGCCTCCCAGGGTCTGCATTGGCAAGAAAGCTGGCATCAGGGGCTGGGAGTCAAACTTGGCGTTGTGCTGTGGGCCGCGGATATCCTAACTTCCAGACTGAATGCCTGCCCCTAGTGATTGACTTGCTTGAGCCGGAAGCAGCCGGCCCCAGCACATCACTGTTGCCAGCCCTGCTTCTCCCCACCCTACCTCATCTTGGGCAGATGACTCATTTTTTGTTGTTCTGGAGGGATGTGCTTGTCAGCCCCTGTAACATTTGGCATCTTTCTGCTTCTGTATTTGCAGGCGTATCACTCTTCCCTCATGGACCCTGACACCAAGCTCATCGGAAACATGGCACTGTTACCTATCAGAAGTCAGTTCAAAGGCCCTGCCCCTAGAGAGAGTAAGTCTAAGCCCATTGTTCTCAGATGTTGGTATTGAACACCTAGCAACCTTCTGACATCAAATGGGAGGAATTCTTAGCTCAGTCAGGTCTCAAATGACTCTTGTACTGTGTGCTTGCTTGGTGGGTATTGTGTTCTAGACCTTTAAAGATGGTAGTTGTGTGTTGCCTTAAATAAGAAACTGGGTGCGACGCCGGCACACCAGGTTCTAGTCCCGGTCGGGGCGCCGGATTCTGTCCCTCTTCCAGGCCAGCTCTCTGCTGTGGCCCGGGAGTGCAGTGGAGGATGGCCCAAGTGCTTGGGCCCTGCACCCGCAAGGGAGACCAGGAGAAGCACCTGGCTCCTGGCTTCGGATCAGCGGTGCGCCGGCCACAGTGTGCCAGCCGTGGCAGCCACTGGAGGGTGAACCAACGGCAAAAGGAAGACCTTTCTCTCTGTCTCTCTCTCTCACTGTCCACTCTGCCTGTCAAAAAAAAAAAAACAAAACAAAACAAAACAAAACTGTGGGGCCAAGAGAAGAAAAATAGGAAACTGTATCATTGCTTCCAGTTTCTCAGACTTGATTCTGGATGCTGCCCCATCGTTCTCCCTGCCAGTTCTTTCAGATGAGTCGAATGCTGCTCCCTCGGAGGACTGCCGTGTGTCCGTGCTTCCCAGGCCGCAGCAGTGGTTTAACCTCGTCCTCGGGGAAGGCTGCTCCGGGATCTTCGCTTTCAGCAGAGCATCAGCCTGAATCCTAAGCGCACTGCACAGCATGACTGCTTGCTTCTCCCTTCTGAGTTCCATTTCCTTGCGTTCCCTCTTGCACTTTGCCTGGCGAAACATTTTTCACTGTTCAGAAAGCCCGGTCCTTTGGCAGTCGCTGCGGGAGATTCTTTCTGGCGCATTCGGAGACGTTCTGCCAGCGGTGTAATTTGTTTTACATTAGACCCAGAAAGGTCTGCAGCGAGTTCCGTTCGCGGTTTCCAGGACCCCGGTTAGAAGTAGCGGTTTTGTACGGGTTCCATTGCCGCTTCTCTGCCAGAGTATTTGACTTGACCTCTTCCTAATTTAATTTTGTTGTCGACACCAGTTGAAAGCTCAATAAACTTAATAAATTTGGTGAGACACCGCAGTCTCTACTTGATTCTGAGAAAAAGGAACAGATGGAAAAAGACCGGAAAAGGCAAAAAATATGATAAAAGAATTGTAGTGCAAAGAGAGAACAATAATAATCAGTGTTGCCCCAGCCTCTTGTGGGGAGAAACCTTTTCAGATGGTTACGAACACCATGTCGTGTATCAGAACATGCAGTTAGCCAAGGGTGGAGTAAATCTTTTTTTTTTTTAAAGACTTATTTATTTATTTGAAAGGCAGAGTTAGAGGCAGAGAGAGAGAGAGAGAGAGATCTTCCATCCGCTGGTTCACTCCCTAAATGGCCGAAAGGCTGGAGCTGTGCCGATCTGAATCCACACAGGTGCAGGGGCTGGGGCCATCTTCTACTGCTTTCCCAGGCCGTAGCAGAGAGCTGGATCAGAAGTAGAGCAGCCAGAACTCAAACTGGCACCCCTGTGGTATGCTGGCACTGCAGGTAGCGGCCCCAGAATACATCTGTTTACTAAAGTATTTTTAAATATTGTGTATTTGAACAGCAGGGAGACAGAGATCTCCCATCACGGTTCACTCCCTAAGTGTCTGTAGGAGCCTCCCAGCGTTCCCATCAGCAGGAAGCAAATCGAGAGCAGAGCCAGGATTTGAGCCAGACACTCCAGCATGGGACACTGCCGTGCCAAGGGCCGTCTCGCGCCCTGAGGGAGGAGTAGGTCTAGGAGGTCTGGTTACTACTACCTTGTCGAGGAGTAACTTGGTTGTGTCCCCAGTGGACAGAATTACAGCTGAATTGGCGTGGAAGCCTGTGCTGGGAGCTAAAGAAGTTAGTATTCCTTAAATCAGTTCATTGAAATTCAGCAGGTAGCTTCTGAGTGCTGGCACCCCCATCCCCCCCACCCCCAACCTTGTTCAACAGTACTGGCGGGGCTTTGTAAACAGTTCTGAGGTTTCCTGTTTGCAGACAAGAGCTGAGCAGGGACAGAGACCAGTGCACTGCGGAGGACTGAAGCGTCAGGGGACGAGGAGTATAAATAACTGCGTCCGCCTCGCTGAGACAGCTGCCGGCTGTCGAGACCCTGAGACCTTGGCCTTTTCAAAATTGAGAAAATTGCCAAAGAAATTGTGTAATGGCATCTGTCTTGTCACAACAGTATTTCTGCCTTTTCTTGGGCTGTGGCCACTCAGAACATCTTGTGCAAGTACATCTTCAGTCATAGTTTGCAGGAAAGGATGATGTATCTGCAAACCCCAACACGTTCCTAAGAGCTTATCCCTGAAGCAACAGCATGTAAACTCAAGTCAAATCATGTGGGAGACGTTCTATTTGTTTATTTTATTTATTTTTATTTTACAAGCCAGTGTAAAGTTTTTTATACTGTGTATCATAAGGCAAAATTATTTAAAGTTAATACTTTATTTAAAATATTTATTTATTTATTTATTTGAAAGGCAGAGTTACAGAGAGGCAGAGACAGAAAGAGTGAGGGAAAGAAATCTTCCATCCACTGGTTCACGCCCCAGGTGGTTGCAATAGCCAGAGCTGAGCTGATCCGAAGCCAGGAGCTTCTTCTGGGTCTCCCACGTGGGTTCAGGAGCCCAAGCACTTGGGCCATCTTCTGCTGCTTTCTCAGGCCATAGCAGAAAACTAGATTGGAAATGGGACAGCTGGGACTTGAACCGGCACCCATATAGGATGCCAGCACTGCAGGCGGCGGCTTTACCCGCTATGTCACAGCACCGGTCCCAGTTAATACATTTTTATTTAAGGAATTCCCTATGTTGCAATTCCTTCCACTGTCCATCAAAGCTGTCTGCTTGGTTCTTTTAAGTCTTCAAGCCCTTAGAACAAGTGATGCTTCATCCACAGTTGTCTTATCAGCCCAAAATTACCTGGCCTTTGTAATCTTCCTTGAGTTACATAATGACAACTTAAAAATTCCCCACCTAGAGGGCCGGCGCCGCGGCTCACTAAGCTAATCCTCCGCGTAGCGGCGCCGGCACACCGGGTTCTAGTCCCGGTTGGGGCCCCGGATTCTGTCCTGGTTGCCCCTCCTCCAGGCCAGCTCTCTGGTGTGGCCAGGGAGTGCAGTGGAGGATGGCCCAGGTGCTTGGGCTCTGTACCCCATGGGAGACCAGGAAAAGCACCTGCCATCGGATCAGTGCGGTGCGCCGGCCGCAGCGTGCCGGCCGCGGCGGCCATTGGAGAGTGAACCAACGGCAAAGGAAGACCTTTCTCTCTGTCTCTCTCTCTCTCACTGTCCACTCTGCCTGTCAAAAAAATAAAAAATAAAAAAAAAAAAGGAAAAAGAAAAATTCCCCACCTAGAATCTTTGGAATATATCTTCAAGCAATTTATTCTTGGGTCTTTTTACAGAGTAGATAGATTTGCCTGATTCTTAATTTCTGATACCCTCTAATACATGAGTAAGTTCGTATTTCCTCCTGAGTCATCACTCAGAAATAAAACTATCTGTGGGCTATTCCCATACATTAAGATACTCATTGGGGCCGGCAACGCAGCTCAATAGGTTAATCCTCCGCCTGCGGCGCCGGCACCCCAGTTTCTAGTCCCGGTTGCCCCCATCCACTTCCAGGCCAGCTCTCTGCTGTGGCCCGGGAGTACAGTGGAGGATGGCCCAAGTGCTTGGGCCCTGCACCCGCATGGGAGACCGGGAGAGGCACCTGGCTCCTGGCTTTGGATCAGCACGGTGCACAGACCGCAGCATGCTGGCCACAGTGGCCGTTGTGGGGGTGAACCAACAGAAAAGGAAGACCTTTCTCTGTCTCTCTCACTGTCCGCTCTGCCTGTCAAAAAAAAAAAAAAAAAAAAAAGATACTCACTGAACTCCAGACACGCTCTCAAGATAAAAATCTTGGGCTGACACCGAGGCTCAACAGGCTAATCCTCCGCCTAGCGGCACCAGCACACCGGGTTCTAGTCCCGGTCAGGGCTCCGGATTCTGTCCCCGTTGCCCCTCTTCCAGGCCAGCTCTCTGCTGTGGCCCGGGAGTGCAGTGGAGGATGGCCCAAGTCCTTGGGCCCTGCACCCCATGGGAGACCAGGAGAAGCACCTGGCTCCTGCCTTCGGATCAGCGCGGTGCGCCGGCCGCAGCGCACTGGCCACAGCAGCCATTGGAGGGTGAACCAATGGCAAAAGGAAGACCTTTCTCTCTCTCTCACGGTCCACTCTACCTGTCAAAAAAATAAAATAAATAAATAAATTAAAGGATAAAAATCTTAAGGGGTCAGCACTGTGGCATAGTGGGTAAAGCCACAGCCTGCAGTGCCAGCATCCCTTAAGAGCGCCGGCCCCTGCACCTGTATGGGAGACCCAGATGAAGTTCCTGCCTCTTGGCTCCTGGCTTTGGCCTGGACCAGCTGGCTGTTGCGGCCATCTGATGAGTAAACCAGCAGGTGGAAGATTCTCTCCTTCTCCCCAACCTTCTCCCCTACCCCCGTAACTCTTTCAAATAAATCTTTAAATAAAAAAAACAAAAGAAAAAAAACCTGGTGCTGGCGCTGTGGCATAGTGGGTAAAGCTGCCACCTATAGTGCCATATGGACACTGGTCCAAGTCCCGCTGCTTCACTTCTGATCCAGCTCTCTGCTATGGCCTGGAAAAGCAGTAGAAGATGGCCCAAGTCCCTAGGCCCCTGACCCCACATGGGAAACCCAGAAGAAGCTCCTGGCTTCAGATTGGCCTAGCTCTGGCTGTTGGCAGCCATTTGGGGAGTGAACCTGCAGATAGAAGTCCTCCCCCGCCCCCCCCCCCCCGCCTCTCTCTAACTCTGTCTTTCAAATAAAACAAATCTTTTTTTTGTTTGTTTTGACAGGCAGAGTGGACAGAGAGAGAGACAGAGAGAAAGGTCTTCCCTTTCCATTGGGTCACCCCCCAAAGGCCCCCGCAGCCGGGATAACGCGCTTATCCTGTGGGAAGGGGCAGGAGCCAGGGGCTTTTTCCTGGGCTCCCATGGGGGGCAGGGGCCCAAGGACCTGGGCCATCCCTCCCACTGCACTCCCTTGGCCACAACAGAAAACTGGAATGGAAGAGGGGCAACCGGGACAGAATCCGGCGCCCCAACCGGGACTAGAACCTGGTGTGCCGGCGCCGCTAGGCGGAGGATTAGCCTAGTGAGCCACGGCGCCGGCCTTTTTTTGGTCTTTTTTTGAGACAGAGTGGACAGTGAGAGAGACAGAGAGAAAGATCTTCCTTTTCCATTGGTCACCCTCTAATGGCCGCTGCAGCCGGCACACTGCGCTGATCCGAAGCCAGGAGCTTCTCCTGGTCTCCCATGGGATGCGGGGCCCAAGTACTTGGGCCATCCTCCCCTGCACTCCCGGGCCGCAGCAGAGAGCTGGCCTGGAAGAGGGGCAACCGGGACAGAATCCGGCACCCCAACCGGGACTAGAACCCGGTGTGCCGGCGCCGCAGGTGGAGGATTAGCCTATTGAGCCGTGGCGCTGGCCAAACAAATCTTAAGAAATAAAATTAACTACATACTTTATTTTCTAGAAATTGTTTTACAGGTTTTATTTTAATAGCTTCATTTAAAAAAATTTTTATTTGAAGTGCGGAGAGAGATTTCCCATGTGCTGTGTTTCATCTCCAAATGCCTGCAGCAGCCAGGACTGGGCTAAGCCAAAGCCAGGAGCCTAGAATTCAGTTCTGGTCTCCCTTGAGGGTAGTAGGGACCCAGCCGCTCCCGGGAAAAGGCAGGGAGCAGAATGGAGAGACACAGGTGTTCTGATACAGGATGTGGGCATCCCAAGCAGCAGCTAACTGCTGTGCCACGTATGTGCTCCCTGCTTTAATTTTATTCACCTATAGAATTGCTGACAGTTGATCCTGGATTTTTTTTTTTATGGTTTTTACAGGCTAAATTACAGTTTGCAGTTGACTGATTTTTTCTTCCCTCCTTCCCCTTGTTATCCTGCTTAGCAAAAGATACGGATATTGTGGATGAAGCCATCTATTACTTCAAGGCCAATGTCTTCTTCAAAAACTATGAAATTAAGGTAAATGAC